ATTTAGAATCCATAGCCTACAGTATCCAACCGCTCCCAGAAACTCCTGTACTTTTTTTTTTAATTATCTCTCATAGAGCAATTCTAACACCTTAGTTATCTTCTTGTTGGTAGCTTCTTGTAAATTCTCTCAGTTCTCAAAGACCTTTTGTGCTACCTCTATTAACTAGCTGAGGGGCATTTTCTCAAATCTCTCAAACTTTTGCAATTTTTGTCTAACATGTTTTGCTGACTGAATTGCAAAGAGAACAACTGGCGATACTTGGGAAACCTCCTTACCTCTGATTGTCTAATTGGGGTGGGACAAAAGGAAAACATGGTTCTGACATTCTGGATCAGAGAGCAGGCTTCATCTGGATGGCACACCACTTTTTGTCCCAGGGTGCCGCGTGGCAGGCCATCGTTTTACTGAAATTATATACTTAACAAAAAGGGCTTTTTCATGGGTAACAAAATTAATTGTGCCACATAATCTCCTAGATGTCTACAGCACATGCAAGAACTTGTATTTTATTTCTATAATCACCAATCACATTAGCACAATAGTTATTTCTTTTAAATTTAGATCAGCCTTTTTTTTTCAGTATAAGACGAATTGTTTTTTACAATCAAAATCTCAACTGTTTTTATAATCTATAACATTTCTGGAAATTTTCCTCCTCCAAACTCACAGTATTGTAAATTATCCTGTTGGGCTCTTTGCTCTTGATTTGCAACACAAAGCTGCTTAAGAGCCCCCAGCAATAGCCATGCCACAGAAAGCATTTTTTTCTTTTACATTTTTACTTTAAGACAAAACCACCCTTTTTTTAATTATTAGTCAATTACCTTTTTCTCTTGCTTTTTAGACAACATTAAAACCATTAACAAAATCCTTGAAGTGACCTTTTTAGTAGTCTAAAACATATTTAATCATTTTATGTCTTTTTACCACATTAAAATGCTGTATTTTAAAAAACTGTAACCCTTTAGAAAACTTTGCTTAAATAAAAACAACAACAACAACAAAAACTGTAACCTTTTAACTGGCTCAATTACAGTATGGCCTGGTTTTTACTTAGTAAAGTTGATATGATTCTTAAAAACCATAAATATACATATATATATGTGCATATGTTTACATTTTAACCAGAAAGAAAAATACTTTTTTAAAAAGGCATGCCAAGGTTGCAAGTAATCAATTGAGGACTAAACGTTAAACAAGGCCCCACAACATAAAAGACACAAACAAAGGTTGTTTCATGCACAGTTTGGTGAGCTAAATGAAATAATTTTTTATTATGAACCTTGAGTCTAATAAGCCATATAGATCCTGCAACAGAAATGGGCAACGAGCCCCTAAGTAACAAATTCAAACAGGCAGACAATTCTAAAGTACAAAAACACTGAACATAAATATCTAAATCCCTTTGTCCGTTTTGGGCTCATAGAAGGGGTTCCTAGGAGAGAATGTTCTGTTAGATTTGGGGTAACCAAAAGGAGAACAGAACAAATGGACACACAGACAGACATACAAGACAAGACAAGCTGCAGCAAAAATGGCCTTTGCTCAAAAATTGGTCAAATTTTGGGATCTAGAGGAATTAACAAATTAACCAACGGAGCAGATCCCCTCATGGGGCAGAGTCACAAATGGATGAGATTTGTCCCAAAAAACCCAACTGACTCTGTCCTTAGGAGGTCCTCACTCCCCAGATTGAGGGCGTCCCTTCCCAATGGAGCGGTTCCCCACCTGGGGCAGCGTCACAAATGGACGAAATCTGTCCAAAAAACCAATTGACCTGTCCTCGGGAGGTTCCTAGTCCTCAAATTGAGGGCATCCCCTCCCAAAGTGCGAAATGACCGTGGTCTAGTTAATCCCTCCAGAGTACTTATTTTTAGGTGTTCAGAATTGAGTTGGAGGTCTTGCTTTCATCCCGGACGAGCCCCCAAATGTGATAGCTTGGACCCCAGAATAAAATCCAAGAAAGCAAGAAATTTAAAATTTAGGGAGCAAAGGCTTTATTTTAGGCCAGGCCTGGCCACACAGTCTCCAGGAGCCAATATGGAGACTGTGTGCCTTACAGCTAAAAGGGTTGGGTTTTAAAGATGAAAAACCACACGAATGTTGCGAACTTTGACCCAGTTTGATAGCATCTGGGCTTCTTGGTATCTCCTGTAACTTCCTTATAGTTAAAATGTTTCTTAAGGACAGCACATTGTATTACAGATAGGCTGAAGAGGGTGGGGGGATTAAAAGAAACTGAAACTTAAAGTTTTTACGGGAAATGGAGACTAAACCTAAAAAGAATGGGGAGGGGAGGGGGATTTACAAGGAGCTGAAACTTAAGTCTTCACTGGGGAGATGGAATTTTAATCTGTATTGAAATGGCGCATACAGAACAGAAAGGAGGCACATTGATTAGAAATAGGTTACAACACAGGAAGAAGTAAGCATGTCAATCAGAGTCTTGGGACAGATAATGCTAAAAGAAACTTCACTACCAGGAACACATTTAGAAGATTGATTGCATTTCAAGAGTTTTGTTTTGATTTTTGCTTTTAAATGCAAAGAAAGGATTTGACTTTTGTATAACAGCGCATCCTCTCCCTATCATTTTCTTTACAGAAGCTGTCTGGGCACTTTGTGTACCTGTTAAAAAATAAAATGGGTTATTAAAGGAGGGATCTTTAACACTGTAATTTATTTCCACCAAAAGGCAAGAGTACAGTTCTTTAGGAGAGGCAAAAACTACAATGTGGCAGGCAGGAGGACAGCCTGCTAATCCTGAGAGCTGAGCCCTGGTGGCTGCTCTTGTCTGGGATGTCGTCTGTCTTACATGCAGATCCCAGGACACCAAGGCACAGAAGTCTGAGCATCCCCACTCCAGGCACAGAACTGGGTAATGCCTGCCCTTATAACTGGGAAGAAACACGCGGAAACATGGGTTATTACCAGTTAGATTTCCATGAATGGCTTCGTAGTAGCAACACAAAATGTATTACAGGTCACATTTCCCCAGGAAAGGTTATGTATGTTCTCTACATTTCAGTCGTGAAATGTGAACCCCGAAACATTCAGCTTTCAATAATCTGAGTCTGGTGAGTGCCCCATGCCCTCCACTCCTAAGTCAGCAGAGCAGAAGCCCTCCTGGCTGCCGAGCACTGGCAGTGGGGTTTGTCTCGCGGCAGCCCTTCATGATTTGGGTGCCAGAGTTTCATGATGATTTTTTTCAGTGTTAAGGGCATACACAGCATGTGTAGGAATGACCTCCCTGTGTACCTGCAAAGCTTCAGAAAGGCCAAACATGCTCACTGGAGGCAGAGATGCAGGCTGTGCGTCCTCGGAGCAGGCCAGTGAGAGTGCAGCCTGCCACTCAGCAGCAAGGGCCGGTGAGAAGAGGGATTCTGGCCGGCAAAGGGAGCAGAAAAGGCCAGAGGGTTTTCTATTAAGCTGTTGTAAGCTACCACACTATTATTCAGGTAAGGCTGTGGGGTGACATTGCTCCCAAAGGTGTATTTAAAATGCCCATTTCCTCCTTGACACAACTGAGACCCATGTATCTAAGGTGACCCTCTACCACGTAGACCACAGCTGACCTGGCCTCCTCAGTCACGTTGTCCAGCCCATGCTCGTAGGTGGTCACTGTCACCCTCCCCTCCCGCCGACCTCAGGTGGGGGCATCATTGGGTGGGAGCACAGCTTCAGGTCCTCATTGTCGTGGGATGTTAGCCACAAACTGCTGAGCTCCGAGAGGGGACTGATTCTGAGGCTGGACTCTATGATGAAGCTTCTGAGGAACAGAAGAAAGCTGCTTCTTGGCGTTGGGTTTTCCACATTTGGCTTCAGGGCCCCGTCCAGGGCAAAGATCCAGCACCTTCTGGTGTGGAAACCAAAACCTGACCAGGAGAATAGCTGGGAGGAAATCACGGTGAGCGTGAGTATCCCCTGCCAGAGTCTACGAGCCTCCGGGTCAGACTGTCCCTTGCTGATCCTCTGTTTGAGCCACAGCTTTAAGTTAGCGCAGTCCTGCTTCACAGTGTGCCCCAGGGCCTCGTTCAGATTCTTCCTGGCCGCCTCCAGCTCGCTCACAGAGGTCACCATTGCACCTTTGCGCATGGTCTTGTTTTTAAATTTTTACAATCAGATTTTATTGGTGCATTTTAGGTATACCATTATCATATTGAGCATGGAGAATTTGTAACTGTACAACACACACACTGGAAGAAAGACAGCTTCTTTAATAAACTGGAAAAACTGGCTCTGCACATGCTGAAGATTAAAATTAGAACCATATCTTTCATCATGCACTAAGCTAAAATTGAAATGAATCAGAGATGTAAATATTAAAACAAACAATCTGTGAGAAGATAGAATAGATGGTACTCTTCAAGACATAGGTGTAGGCAAAGGCTTGGAACAAAGCTGTGATTGCACAGGAACTATCACAAAGCATCAACAACTGGAATCTTACGATAAAGCTTTTACACAGCAAGAGAAACCACCAACAGAATGAAGAGGCAACTCACAATGTGGGAAAAAATGTTTGCCAGCTGTTTCTCAGACAGGATTACTATGGAGAACATATAAAGAGAGAACATATAAAACTCAAAAAAAATTAGACCTGTCAAATTTAGTGACCCAATTAAAAAAATGGACATTTGAGATGAATATGCACTTCTTAGATGAAGTACAAATGGTAAGTAAATACATGAAACAATGTTCAGCATTGTTGGTCTTTTGTGAAATGTGAATTAAAGCAATGCTGAGGTTCCATCTCACCCCAGAAAGAATGCCTTTTGTCAAGAAATCAACTAGTAACAAATTCTGGAGGGGCTGTGGGGAAAAAGGAACCCTTCTCCACTTTGGTGAGAGTTCAGGCTGGCGCAACAACTGTGGAAATCAATGTGGAGATTCCTCAAAAAACTTAGGATTAGAGGATCCATTCCACCAGCTATTTCCCCTTTTTTGGGTATCTTTCCAAAAGAATTAACAGGAAGCATTTATTGTTTTTGACACAGGGTCTCACTGTGTACCCCAGGCTGGCCTTGAACCTGAGGCAGTTCTCCTGTCTCAGCCTCCTGAGTGCTGTGATGACTGGTGTATGCCAAGATGCCCTGCTAAGGAAGTACTTGCAGTGCACAAGCCACACACTCCGCACTGAGCAAGGCACTGAGACCGGACCTGCATTCTCCAAGCTGAGCTCCAGTCCCCTTCACACCCTCCTGCACTGAGACCCGGGCCATGGTTCTTCTGCTTTCTGGGTTTAAATTCATTCTGGTACAGGCAGCTGAAGGAGATAAAAATATTACAGGCAGGCAGACATGGCCTGGCCTTGGAGGGAGCCAGTGCAGAGGGGCAGATATCTAGCAACCTTGGAGGAGACAGACAGCTGTGCTGCAGGCCAGATCTCAGGACAAAAGGCAAAACAATGCAGCCACATCCTAAGTATAAACCTCAGGGACTGATATTCTAAATAGGTATCACCTGGATGCCTGGATCGCCTGAGGAAGCCAGAAGAAGCCACTGATCCAAGCCCCTGCAGGCAAGGCCCTGCTCCCACTTGCTCCGTGACTGATTTACCTATTGAATCCTGATTTAATCAATCTTAGCTGAGCAATTACGCTCGCAGTCTTGCTGGTTGGCCATAGTTCTGTCCCACCTCATGCCCGCCAGCTTTACGAATTCCCATTTTTGCCCACCTTGGACCTTCCTCACCTTGTGGTTTTGCTCTATAAAAATCTGTAGAGAAGTCAGATGTTGGGAGCCGCGGCCGACACCGGTCGCTTTACTTGGCGGACGTGAGGCCTGTAGAAAGGAGCAAAGCCTGAGCTAAATTACCCCTCCCATCGAGTGAGCCAAGTTGGCGCCTGCTTCCTGCCCCCTGATTGCCCTGGCGACTTAAACAACACGCTCTGTAAGATAGTCTGCCTAGCAACAACTGATGTTAGCCAGTCAGCCCGCATCGCGCGCTTTAAACTGATTGGCTACTGTTACCCTATAAAAGTGAATGCCTCTCCCGCCACGAGAGGAAGCACAGAGAGAGATAGAGAAAGTCCACCGGCGAAAAAGGGCTGGTGACAGAGAGGAGGCCTCGCGAGGCCCACGCGGAGACAAATAAAGGCAAGGTTGCACACCGCCAGACTTTGTCGTGTGTCTTTCCTGCCGGCCGGGAGCGACCCCGACATCTGGTGGCCCGTACGGGGAATTGATCACTCCCCTCGGTGGTGTGCAACGCTCCAGCGTGGTGCTGCCGGACAGGTGAGTGGGGGATAAACCTGGGCTCTGGGTGGCGCGCACCTACAGGGCTTTTAGACTCCCCTCAGGCTCACGCGTAGGTGACGGGTTCTTTAAGTCACACGCGGTGAGTAACAGCCCTTAGAGGTTGAGGATGGGTAATTTACCGAGCGCGGAGGCGCGGCCCTTGGTAAAGGCCCTTAGGAAGCTTTTAAAAGCTAGAGACCTCAGGGTAGGTCAAAAAACACTGGAACTATTCATAGCAGAGGTAGATAGGGTGGCTCCCTGGTTTTTACCCACAGGGCATTTAAACCTGCCGTCATGGGAGAAGTTAGGCGGGGACCTCGCCTCGGCGGAATTGGAAGGCGATATTTCGCCGGCTATTCGCCCCCTGTGGGAAATGATACATGCGTGCCTTGAAGGGGAGGGGAAGGGGTTCCCGTCGGCAGTTAGAGACGCGGAAATCATAGATGCACGCAAGGCTTTTGAGCAGGCAAAGTCGGAATGCTCTCGGGAGGGATCTGTCCAGGGGGAAAAGATCCAGAAAAAGATAGAGGACACCCAAGCTCTAGAGTCCTCCAACTTAGATAGCGAGGAGGAACCAGAAGGTGGGGCAGGAAGCCGAGAGGCCAAAAACCCCTATGCCGAGTTGCGCCGCAAATTGTGTGCGTGCGCCGCCCGGGAAAAGCAGAGAGAGGAGGAAGGACCCCCGAGCGCTCTCTGGCGGGGAGGAGATAGAGAGCCATCCGCTCCGCCCTGGAGCTCTTTTCCAAAAGCGGCTCCCCGCCAAGAGGCCGCTACGGGGAACCCTCCCTTCTCTCAGCCGGCACAGGAAGTGACGCCCCGTTCCACTCTGTCGCGACCACCGTCCTATGACGTCGCGCCGCCGGGCGGACGGTATTTTCATGGGCGGCTACTCTGCCGAGCAGGCTGAGAAAAACGCCGGTCGAGGAAACGGGGGCTGGGGATTTAGCTTAGCGACATAAGCGCCTGCCTTGTAAGCAGGCAATCGCGAGTTCGATCCCTGGTACCGATAAAAAAAAAAAATAAGGGGCTGGGGATTTAGCTCAGCGGCATAAGCACCTGCCTTGCTAGCAGGCGGTCGTGAGTTCGATCCCCGGTACCAATAAAAATGAAAAAAAAAAAAAAAATAAAATAAAATAAATAAAAAATAAAAAATAAAAAACAAAAAGGGGGAGTAAGCCAAGGCCTGCCTCCAAAGGCGCGGTTATCTATGGCATGACAATGGATGGGCCCGGATCCGGTGGTTAGCTGGAACCGAGGCGCGGTTTGTGTTTTTCCGCAGGAACCGGGACGAGAACCACTGTGGGTCCCAGAGAGGTTGACGCGACAAGTCCCTCGACTGAAGATCAGGCCTGTTCCACCAGAGGCCAACCGCAGACCCAACAACAAGATGAGCCCTAAAAGAACTGCAGGACAATCCCTTTTTGGGGGCCTGGAACGGCTTGCTCCCCTATGTGCTACCCTTGTTAGGCCCTCTATGCTCCTTGTTCTTGCTCCTGCTTATAGGACCATGCTTGCTCCGATGGGTCACATCATTTATTAATGGGCGCCTTGCGGCGGCCCGGCGTCAAGTACGCCTGGTTGCCCATGCGGCCCTGGCAGCAGCCCGTGATGGGCACAATGACCCCCAGGCTTACGCATGGCTCGCTCGACTGGCCTACGACCGGGTCTAGGTGTGGCGGGTCTTCCGCACTCCTTCCCTATTGACACCACACAGCAGGGTAGGTGAGTCAATGACGGGTAAGAGCGTGCCTCCCCAGCACGACTCGACCTAAGCCAGGCCCTACCCCATACTGCACGAAAGCCGCTGGATTACTAGAATCTGCCCAGATTTAGATGCCTCTCCGAGGGGATCACACGGAGGGGCATGAGTGCATGCCTATGTGCATCCAGGTTCCGTCCAGTTCACTCCTGGCCCTGGAAAAAGGACGAGGGTCTCAAGGCCTTGGCGGACCCGGGGGCGGCCGACCAGGGTCCAAGCCAAGGGCCTACGGTGGGCCTCAACACAGGGCATAAGCCTCTGCACTTGATCCAGGGCGGGCTGCGATGCATACATTCATTCAAAGTAAGTAAAATAGGGGGAGATGTTGGGAGCCGCGGCCGACACCGGTCGCCTTACTTGGCGGACGTGAGGCCTGTAGAAAAGGCAAAGCCTGAGCTAAATTACCCCTCCCATCGAGTGAGCCAAGTTGGCGCCTGCTTCCTGCCCCCTGATTGCCCTGGCGACTTAAACAACCCGCTCTGTAAGATAGTCTGCCTAGCAACAACTGATGTTAGCCAGTCAGCCCGCATCGCGCGCTTTGAACTGATTGGCCACTGTTACCCTATAAAAGTGAGTGCCTCTCCCGCCACGAGAGGAAGCACAGAGAGAGATAGAGAAAGTCCACCGGCGAAAAAGGGCTGGTGACAGAGAGGAGGCCTCGCGAGGCCCACGCGGAGACAAATAAAGGCAAGATTGCACACCGCCAGACTTTGTCGTGTGTCTTTCCTGCCGGCCGGGAGCGACCCCGACAGTCAGAGACCTGAGCAGCCATCTCGGGACCCCTCTGTCTCTCTCTTGGACATTTTCTTCTCAGTAAATGCATTCTGCTCTCAACCTCTGCTGTTCCTAAAACTCAGTCTTCGGTTTTAGATACCAGAGCTCGCACCATCATCTCATCGTCTAGTAGGCTGTGTATTTCTTTCCCCTGTATCAATTCAACTGTGCAGTACGTGCAGGGGCCCGGCACACGGTCAATGCCAGGAGGAGCTCTTGGTATCGTATGGTCTTGGCCTCACTCAGCAGGAGCTTTTGTACATAGTGCTGTTCTCCAAGAAGCCTTCCTGGGGCTGCAAAGGGTTAGCAGTGCCTCCCTCGGAATCGGAATCCAAGCCTCAGGTAACCTGCAAAGATTAGCACACAGATGCCATGTAGTTGGCCAGTGCAATTCAACTTTTAGAGTCGGGTTTTCTCTGAAAACTGGTAGACTTAGATTCCATGTCTTTCTTGGATGGGTGAGGCACTGCTGTGTGCCAGAGGGAAGACCCGCCTCCCCCAGACTGGGAAATTTTTATTTTTTGAAACAGGGTCTCACTACGTAGCTGAGGCTGGCCTCAAACTCACATCAGTCCTTCTGCCTCAGCCTCCTGAGTGCTGGGATTACAGGCATGTGCCACGATGCCTGACTGAGGTTTTTAAAACTGGAGGAATCTAAGTCAAGAACAAATTTGAATTCTTTAGAAGTCTTCCCACACAAGGAATGACGTGGTCGCATGGCTCTTAGGTCTGTGATGTTTCAGATGACACAATGAAAAGCCAGAGAACCAAACATCAAAAACATTGTCTTCACCAGAACTTTGTCTTGGTTGATTACCACCCAGAGATGAGGCTTTTGGAAATTCTGAGCAGATTCATCCGTAAGGATGAAGCGTTTACTCTTCTGCTCAGCTTGGACTTTCTGTATCTTATACTCTGGGAACTTTAAAGGCTCTAACTAATTCGATATGCAGGCCCAATGAGGAAGCCGAAGTCATAGGGGCCGGGGATATAGCTCAATGGCACAAGCACCTGCCTGGCAAATTCGAGCTTAATGAGGTTGCTTCCTCATTTAAAAAAAAAGTTAAAGGTAGAACTGATTTGGAGAAGAACAGTTTACTTCCTGAACCCCCTTCTTAGCGTCTTGTATGTTTGTTTATTAATGTTACTTGGTCATACTTTTTCTTGTTTTACTTTTGTATATGAAATGTATCAGCTACAGATTCATTTTTCTGGATTTTTCCCTTTAATTTCTGTCTTGACCTTGTATATACACAACAGTTGTACCAGATATGGTGGCACACACCTGTGGTCCCAGCTCTTGGGAGGCGGAGGCAGGAGGACCACCACCAGTTTGAGGCCAGCCTGGACAACCTAGTAAGATCCTGTCTTAAAGACTTGGAAAAGAATTGGGCTGTGGCTGGGTGGCAGGGTACTTGCTTCTTATGTGAGAAGTCTTGGGTTTAAACATACACACAAAAAAGTTGGTTATAAGCTATTAAAAGTTTCCCACTCACAGATGGTACTTACTGCACAATTTTAAGCTTTCCTGTCTGAACAATGACTGTGTGATCGGGAACCCCAAGATTTCCCCAATCCAAATTGTTTACCTGTAAGTATAGATTCTAATTTCAGAATGTTTTAGAGTGAAAGAAAAATCATTAAACATGAATTGTAAATTATATTCACATCATTTAGGTAAATTCTATTTTAATGGTGACTTTTTTTGTTACTATGTAGCCTAGGCTAGCTCTGATCTCACAGTGATCCTCTTGCTTCAGCCTCCCAAGTGCTGGGATGACGGTCAGGTGCTACAGTGCTTGGTACCATGTGTGTTTTAACAGGAACCAGCCATAGAGTCCACCACCCACCTCGGGACACTTTTCAGACTGAAAGGAGCCCTGAACTCAGGACCAGCTAGAGGAAAGCAGGTCCCAGAGAGACTCAGGCCAAGCAGGGACACGTTGATCCTGGGCCCACCGTGCTCAGCCCAGGAGATGAGGCCTGGGGTGGCAGGTGAGGTGGTTGCCTTAGCAATGGTCCCAGCAGCCCTCTCCCTCAGGCTGCCAGGCAAGGGGGCGGCCAGGCGTGGAGCAACCACAGTAGAGCTGATGCATGGCTTGGCGGAAGAAGGGGCTCATTGACCTTTCAGGGAGGACGGGCCCAGGCCAGCTGCCGAGGGGAGTGGTGGCAAGCACAGGGCCTGGCGGGACCCCAGGGCTGGGAGCCGAGTTCAGTGCGGCCTCCTGGAGTATTCTCAGAGGGAGGTGTGCTCCAGGCACCGGCCACGTGGGGACAGCGCAGGTGTGCAGGTCATCTGTCCGTGTGTCTGCCTATCTGTAGGCCTCGGCCCACGGCTATGTTGAGGTAGCAGGAAGGAGATGCAGGCCTGTAGAGCAGGACCCTCGGGTACCCCAGGGCCTACTCTGGGCTCTGCGGCCCCCTGCTGGGCACTGATGTCGAAATTAGGAATCAGAATTCATCAAGATTCACAGAGCGCCTGGCACTGGCCCGACCCAGCACTGGGCCTCCATTTCCGCCTTCACAGAAGCTCAAGGGGACCACTGTCACCTCCAATTTACAGAGAGAGAGACCGAGGCCCAGGGTCCATGTGGGGTAGAGCAGGGTCAGTGCAGACTGGGCTGTGGACATGGGACTGGACAGTCTTCCTGGGCCTGCGGTCCCATGTCGTGGGCTGCAGATGGCCCGCAGCTGGCACGCTCAGGCTGAGATCCCTGTGTTGCAGGCATGGTGTCGGGCTAATGGGTGGTCTCTGCCACCCACTCTTACATTTCTCCTGCTCCAGATTGTCCCAGTGGCTCACGGGACCAGACGCTGTGCTTCCAGGGTCAGGACTGTAATCTACTTGGCTGAGGGGTGAGGCAGAGCAGATAAAAAATCCTCCAGAGGGAAGGACGAGGGAGAAGGGTATTATGGGGTTCTCTGCGCCGGACCGTGTTCTGGAATCCTTTAACTGAAGCTCAGATTTGTTATTTGGAGCAAAAAGTGTAGTGAAGTCCTTCTGTGCCTGGTTTAATCATTCTATAAACATCTGTCGCAAGAATAGTGCGGTGAGCCCTGCTGGCTTGGTCTCTGTAGCACGCGCACTCATGTGCGCGTGTGTGTGTGCACACACATACACACACACAGAGAAAAACAACAGCAAAGAGCTAAAACCATTCGTCTGTCCAGACCCCGTGTATGAGGGAAGACACTCTGCTTTCTTGGGCAGGGTCAGCTGTGAGTATGTGGTGTTCTCTGTTCTGTCCCAGAGCTCCAATTCCCCAAAGAGGACTGGGGAACAGGAGACCCGAGCTGGGATTCTCAGGCCTCCCTACCGCAGAGCCCGCACTGACACAGCCCCACACTGGGCGAAGTCCAACTCCGCAGTGGGTCAGGGCTGTTTCCACCGGGCTACTCCAAGGGTCCTCTTTGGATCAGAAGTGGGTTGTGTATTCCCTGGGGGCCGCAAGCCAGCGACCTCAGCTCCCATGCTAACCTACAGTGCTTTAGTGCTCCAGTTCTTGCCGTTTGCATCCCAGGGCCAGGGAGGCCGGGACAGAGCTGATGGCAGGTTCAGTGGCTGCACTGGAAGGCTCCCAGGACTTCTAGGGGTGCTGGTGGCTGTGCCCCACTGTCTCCTGGGTCACAGGGTTCTGGGCTACAGATATGAGGACTAAAGGTCGCCAGCAGTGGGGACTCTGGATGCCGCCTGGAGCATCCCAACAGCTCTGCTCCAGCTGCTGGCCCTTGGGGCTCACACTCAAAACTCAGGGGAGCTGTGGCCCAGTTTGATGCGAGCTGTCTCGTCTCTTCCTCCAGCTCAGCTGCTGCGGAGGGAGCAGCTTTGTTCCCCCCAGAAATGTTCCTGCGGAGCACAAAAGGAAAGATGAGAGACAAAGAGGAAGAATGGGAACCCCAACACCAAAGAGGCCCCTCTGGAGATGGCCTGGAGGCCGAGCCAGGCAAAGGCAGGCTCCAGAGTTCTCGGGGCAGGTAATCTGCATGTGTGTGGGATCCCAGCCCAGGTTAGATGAGACTGGGCACACCTGGCGGTGTGTCCATTGGCTCCGGCCCCAGCTTTGAGATACCCCACCGAGAGGCGTATGACTCAGTGGTGCACTGTGGACTTCCCACGTGCGAGGCCCCACGCGCAACCCCTGTGCTCACGTGCACGCACAACTTTGCTTTTTCTTAGTTCTCTAATTTCTTCCAGTGTACGTCAGGCAATGCAACATGGGGAGTGTAACTCAGACACTACACCAGCTTCTTTGGAACCAGGAGGTCAGAACTTGGTCTTCCGGGCAACGGACTCAGGTTCCTGGCCAGCTGCTGCTGGATCCCAGGCATGAGGATCTGTCTCCCCTGAAACCAGTGCAGAACAGCCGGGGCGGGCTGCCTTGGCTTTTCACTGGGCTGGGAGACAAGCGTGGGCCCGTGACCTGACCGCGGTGGGGCCTTCATTTGATATTCATGCAGCTGGACAAGGAGCGAGGGAGATAAGGACTATTTTCCTCCCTGCCACAGGGCCTGAAGATCTCTTTGTTTGGTCTTTGCCCGGAATCCAAGTGGCACTCATTCCAGCACTGGGAAAGGTCACGTGATGCTGGCTACCCTTGCTGTAGAAACTGTTCTTGTGACTGCCCGGGTAGCCTGCCGCGCTGCTGTGTGTTTTTTGCTTGTTTGGTGTTGGTTTTGCTTTGCAAGAGTGGTGCAGCATGCAGTTCAGAGGCCAGTTTTCCTGGTGCCAACACAAAATCCCAGCACCCCTGTGCGTGGCTCGGTCTCCCCAGCCTCGCTTGCTCAGGACACGGGGCAGAAGCTGGTCGCCCTTCCTCGAGTAGGTCCTGAGCTTCTCCCCCAGCTCAGCGCTACTGTGCCCTGCTGTGTCCCTCCCTGGGACCTGCCTCCTGCCACCCCAGGCCAAGGGCCACACCTAACTGTAGTTATTCA